CCAAGGTGAGCGCGGGGCACGGGGTGCACCGACAGCCTCCCCGGCCATGCCGCAGGGGCCAAGGCGTGTCCCCCATGCTCCCCGCAGGACGAGGACGGCCTGGTGCGGGGGCTGTCGGTGCTCTGCAACCTGGCCAACCAGCTCTACTACCCCTGCGAGCACGTCGCATGGGCAGCTGACGCCGGCATCATCCACGTCGGCTCTCAGAAGTGGTGGACTCTGAGCACGGCGCTCTGGGGCTTCTCCCTGCTCCTGGGCATCCTGCGGTAAGGCTGGGGTGCCGCAGTCTGCGGTGGGAAGGAGACAGACAGGGAATGAACCGTGTTCCCTGTAATCAAGCTAAAATGAAGGATCCTCTCAGCTGCAGAAGGGCGCTCTTCCTCACAGATGCAGTTAATGCTAGAGAAAAAACCTTCCCCTTTGCTATAGGAGAAATAACTCTGCTGTCTTATGTTCAGATCCCTGAGAATCTTGTTCCAGTTAAGAAGAAAGCTGAGGCAGCACAACTGGTATGATTTCCCTCCTTGGCTATGCAGCTAATTTAACACAAATATATCTGTTCTCATAATCACTAATTATTATTACATTATGGGCTATCACTAATGTTACTTTTGCTTCCACCAGTACATCTTCGCTTCCGAGTCGAAAGAAAATGAAAGCCCAAGTGAAAGCTGAAGTTTTGAGCATCCTCATGGAAACGGCAGATCTCTCCAATGCAATCCATTGGCTGCCTCCGGGATTTCTTTGGGCTGGACGCTTTCCTCCATGGTTAGTAGGTCTCCTGGGGACCATATCTTCCCTGATTGGTATCTACCAAGCATCTAGAGGAGGAGATTCTGAAGCTGTATAAACTATAATTAAGCTTCAGGAGCCCAATTTTTACATGGTAAAAACGCCTTTAGTGAGTCAGGGTGTATTTTAACTTTTCTGGGTGTCAATGATTGTAATTCCACGCATCCTGTAATTGGGACTGTGGTCAAGATGTCTATTACAGAGAGGATTGTTTGCGGTTAACGATTTTTATCACTCTTCATCAGAGAAATCTTTCAGGCGAGTCCTCTGAAAAATCAAGAAATCGCCTAGGATTGATAAAACAGAGGGGGAAAAAAGTCACTTCCATCCTTCCTTCCTGTGTCCCAAAAGAGAAATGCAACCCTCCAGTCTTTGCTGTCACTTAAAAGAGCACAAAGTCAGCGTTAGGCGGAGAAACAGCCAGGGTTCTGTCACACAAAACTGCTAAGGGATGGATCCTGCGAGTTCGAGCTCCAGGCTCAGCGCTTGGTGCCTCCTCTGAACCAGGGAGGTGACCGGTATCGTGGAAGTTTCTCCATCAGATGTTTTGGTGTTTGAGCCCAGAGCAGGTGCCACAGGCGGCCGAGAGAGGTTGTTGGGTTATTTTGTTTGTGATGGTTGTGTTTCTTTAGAAAGAAACAGCAACTGTAAGCAGTGCCTTGCGAAGCTTTCTTCTAGTTTGTATTACTCATTTAAGGAGAAATACTTCTTAAATCAGTTAAACCAGAAGCAGTGCTGAGCCTCCAGCTGTGCCTTTACAAAATGCCACCGGGTGGAGCTCTTCCACCAGGCTCTGGCAGCAGCCAGCGGACTGTTTTTTAAAAAAAAAAAAAGGCTGCAAATTTATTAATCACCTTTCAAAGGACCAATCAAGCCCATGCCAAGATGAGTTTTACAGTTATATTTCTAGGCGGTGCCAATAATAAACGAGACGGATGCTTCAAAGGTGGCCTTGAGTGATCATTCTTTCTGATAACTGGGCAAATGTTCTTTATCTGGTTCTAGAAAGCTCCGAACAGTGCCTAGGCGACAGAAAACATTTGTGCTGCGTTGCCTGCAGCTCCCCATCTGTTACCAGAAATAATTCAGAGCACCTGACTAACTGTCATTGAAATGCATCTTTTGAAAACAGTTCTGCTCAGTCCCCACTGTCCTCGTGCTCCCTGCAACACGGTACGGCACAGACCGCATTTCCAGGAGGTTTGACCTCTTTTTTTTATCGTTGTTTTTGGCACGGACACGGGACACTATCTCCTCCCTGTGTTCAAAGAGCAGAGCGAGGTCTCGATGCTCTTTATCCTTTGCCCTGTCCTTGCTGTTTATCTGGACCTTCACCCCGCGAAGTGCCAGGTCTGCCACAGAGGACGCCTCCCTGACTCTGCTTGGACTTTGGTGTCAGATTTACAGGTTTTGGTACAATTCAGAGTGCGGGCAAGCGTTCTTGGGAAGAGACTCTCATTTTTTCTCTAGTCATGCTGCAGGTCTTGTGTCCGAACGGGCGGAGCACCCGGGTCCTGCTGCGTGGGGACAGCTGTAGCTACTGCCCAGGCTGCCACCAGCAGCGGTGGCTCCTGCTGCGGTTTAGTGGTTTTTAATAAGAAATCAGATTCTATCTCTTTGTATTCTTAACCTCGTTAAACCATTCCTTCAGAACGCGCTCTCCTGCTTAGCACGGGACAAGGTGTAGCTATAGCGATTTAAAAAACCCCAAATATGCACACCTCCAATGCCAAATTAGTAAAACTCTAAACCACGCTTTTAATTTTAACGTAGAGAAAGGATGCTGTAAGCTGGTCTAAGTGCGTTTGCTTTATCCACTTCCTCCTCGAGCCATTTTAAATTGCAGCCGGTGAAGTGTGGGACAAACTGAAGCGTGCAAAGATAAAGTAAAATCTGGTAATTTGGAAGTACTGAAATTCGTATTTTCTGTGGAGTGGTTTTGGTCCCCAATGACAGATGGGGTGTAAGCACCTGTGGTGGCTGCTGCTGACTGTCCAGGGCAGCACTCGCTCTTTTTTAACACCAGACCTTGCGCGGGCAGACCCCATCCTCCCAAAACCTGCACTTTTTTTTCTCTTTTTCTGCTGCGGCCGTCAGCCCAACTCAGCTCCTGCTTTGCCCCATGCAGGAAAACATTTGCTGAGCAGGGACGGTTTGTTCCGGCCGTGACCTCCGGCCGTTAGC